TTTTTTTTTTTTTTAGCTAAAAATATTGTAAGAGTTGTGGAACAAATAACGGAAGAAGATGACGACGACTGTGAACAACAACCGTCTGGAAGTGAAGAAAATTTACCGTTTGTCTTGACCGATGTCAAGAGTCCCACTGTTGCAGAAACGGCATTTGTCGGCAACAGAACATCGCCGTCTACATCGATAGCTTCGGCACTGATACCACCGTTGGCATTCAGTGCACAAGCATTAGCATCGTCATTTACGTTACCAACAATGACGTTAACTGCCGGTGAAACAAAACTGAAACAGAATTTACTGATCAATACCGGATCACAGTCACCGGTGGCAACCGAATCACCACCACATACACCGCAGTCCAGATCACCGGCATTATCGCAGACGTCAAATAATTCTGCTGACTTAATAACGCCAACAAAGTTTCCGTTACTTCAGTCATTCTCATCGACATCACGAAATCGTAATGGTAAATAAAAAAGAAATTTTTTTTTTCTAAATGTATATTTGGTTACGTAAAAAAGAGTTCATCTATGATTGAAGCTTTTTTTTTTCTTTTTTGCTTGTTTGCTCAATTGTGAAACTTTATTTTTGGGCAAAAGGTTAATTTTTTTTTAAAACTTTTTGAAGAAAACGCTAATGAAGAGATGTCAAAGTATCAATCGCAAACTTTGTTGTCCATTTCTGTTACTTGTTTAATTAGTTTTTTATGCTGACATGAAATTCACAACAAATTTTTTATCAATACTTTGTTTCCTGTTGTTTCTTCTCTTCTCCTTCTTCATCTTCTGTTTTTTTTTTCTTTCAGAAGGTGGGAAATTGTCGTGTCCGACACCGGGTTGCGATGGATCAGGACATCAAACGGGTCTTTATACACATCACAGAAGCCTTTCCGGATGCCCGCGAAGACCGGATAAATCAACAATTCAAAGTAATTATCTGGCTTCTATTTCTTCACCTGAATTTATTCATTCTTCTTCTATACTTTCCTTAACAAAGAAAATCCTAATACTTCTTCTGTTGTACACTTTGAGAAAAAAAGACGGATTGTTCAATTTGGCTTTATTTTTCCACCATTTTTTTCTGTTAATTTTTTCTTTCTTTTTTTTTTATAAGCAAAAATAAAATTCTTCGCTGGTTAAGCCATATAAATAGAAAGTTTTCTGTTTTATCCTTCTTTTTTTTTTCGTTTTTCTTCTTTTTGCCTTAATAAGACTGAGTTGTCAATGTGTTTGAGTGCGGGGTGCAGGACTGAACGTACATATACATATATATTGTTTTTTTAAATAGTTTTTTCTCAACAATTCAATACTCAATTTGGAAGGGAAGTGAAAAATCGGGGGTATGAGAAGTTTCAGAGAAGGGTGGAAGAAGGTTTATGTAAATTGACAGCAGTAAAGATATATTTTGTTTAAAATAGCAAAAAAAAAAAAAGCAAAATAACAAAAAGGAACTGAGCATACATTGACAGAAAAAAAAAAAAAAGTGGATAAATATGTTGCTATTGATGTTGATACTGATACTGATACCAGTTAATGTTGAGGAGGCAATGAATTGGGAGCTGAACAGTTAGGCAAACTCTCCCCCCCGCCTCTCCCCCTTCACAAATGGATAAGTTAAATTTTTTTTCTTTTCTCTTCGTTTTGTTTTTTTTCTTTCCTTTTTTTTTGCGCGAAAAGCTTATTTTGGTGTTGATCGATGAAGGAGGAGGAAGAAGAAGGAAACAGGGGAGGTTTTCGTTGTTTCGTTATGTTAATTTCTTTAATGTTCAACTGATGCTGGTAAGCGGCACTATCTTTATGGCGTCTTTGTCTCTATAATCCTCTCAACTTACGTAAACTCTAAAAGTACACTTGACTACGGTAACAAATAGCAACCTAAATTTGATGAAATTTTTTTCCAAAAAAAAAAGAAAAAGAATATGAAACTTTTATATATATATATT